TGTATTCTAGTCGCCGCTGAAAGCCAGTAGAGATCATGTTTCATTCACATCGATGAAAGAGGAACTCTAAAAGTATAATAGACATTTTTGGCAGAAGTAGATGGTACTGCAGTAATTTTAGGTCGGCATTTGATTGTGAGTTGAATAGATGATCAAATGATCCCCCTCAAAAGCCTAGAGACAAGTGTATCGGCGATTTATATTCCGATAAAAGTTGCTTAGCAATTTCAACCGGATGTGACGGTGAAATTTCATTTTCAAGGTCGAGTAGTAATACCAAATAGACAGCGGGTGGTCAAGTCAATGAAAACTAGGCGGAGTTCATAACGAACTCGATTGATAATGAAAACCGCTTCATAATTGAGCGATGTTACCTCCTAGAGGATTCCCTAGCTCTGAAGGATCCTATATTAACCAGAGAGTGCGATATTTTTTAGCATTTATTTGAATACTCTATTGTTCTTCTAACATTTCACTTTATAGCTTGCTCGCCGCCTAAAGACAATCGGAACTAGTGGAAGACAGTAAGACTTGTTAATGAACAACTTTTTTTAGAAGGATTTAATTTTGAAGTCATTGACATAACCAAACAACAAGTTTTTCATTTAAATTATTAAAGTCGAAAAAAATAGAAGTGTCCAAGAAAAAAAATGGAGGAATTGTGGCAAATATGTTGAAATAGACTGAAAAAGGGTTCCGGCATCAATGGAGGCTATTTATAACTCCAATTGATAAGTTTGGCTGATTGACTCCTTCCGATGAGTCACTTGAATCAGTAGAAATTAATTTGCTCTGAAATTTATCACCTGGATACGCCACGTGTTCGAATTTTGCATAACACAGTACAGCTGTTTCCTACCCTAAACACAAATAGTAGCTTCGAACATTATCGAGGCTATTTATGGGATGTAAATAATGGTTGAATGAAAAAATAGTCAGGCCGGATGGGCTCTGCCGCTTCTAAATATCTCGTATGGAACAGTCCCAATTACTTGTTTTGAAGGGAACTTGTACCATTGATACCTAAAGGGAAGATTCTCATTCCTATAGGAACCCCTGAAAAGTGAATTTTGTTTGCTCTCTACTACCCGTGAAATCCTCTCGAAATGTTTCTTTCCTGACAGATTGAGGTTTTCCGAGAGTCCGAGAGATTTGAGGTGTAAAGGCTTATCCCAGAGTTCCTTAGTTCCCTAATCTCCTAGCCATACAGTTTAGAGAAGACCACACGCCCATGTCCTGACCGATAGGTTCGGTGGCTACTGCGCAATCACCTACCTATGTACACTTTTATTGTTTCGTGTACTCAAAAAGTTTGTAGTGGTGCCGAATTACGTCAGCGGTCTGTGGCGGCAACGGACGTGGGCACATTAGGAGCCCGGATGGCGGCACGCGTCTCTGAAGCGCTCCGTTGAAGCGCCATCTTGGGCACCGCGCGTGGCAAAACTTTTACTTTGTCTTATCTACACCTGTATCTGTCACGCAAATTACCATGTCCGCCTTTCATCTGCCATCATCATCATCATCGCCGCCATCGCCGTTGTCCACCCGAATCCCGAAGGCACAGCTTTCAGGCCAACTCACAACACCCGTCATTTACTAATGCACTTTGTGGGCGTGTCTCTAGACGCAGATACGGTAGGTCCGTTTGGCGCTGGGCCCAACCCCTCCCCGATGGTGGATAGGATGCGCTCGCTTATACACAGACACATACAACCACCTCGAAACAGGCTCCGTCCGTCGAGAGAATATGTCCGTCGATTATCGCCTCTACTTGCTACTGTTACTGCTTCTGCAATCACTTCTGTTACTAACTGTTACTAATCGTTCGTTTGATAAGTCAATCGACCACAAGTGAATTCGTCTTCCGTACGGAAATCTCTTCTCACCTTCACTCATTCGCTTGTTATCTGTTGACGAGGTGTCAGTTATGTTGAGTGCGAACTAGGCACGCGTTTGCTTCCTCCACCTCATTACCACAGATGTCGTCAAAGGTGTGAACTGTTGAGGCGATGGCAAGTTGTCAGGCTGATTTTACTCAGAGTAACCTAGAAAAAAGTGAATTGAATATAAAGTGAAAGTTGGCGACGATGACGAGAGTGAACTGTGACGGTTCGGCGTCGTCGATCTCAGCATGAAGTCACTCCGTAGCGTTGAGTTTTTCATGATTCGGAAATGAAATTGTCTCGAGAGATTCATCGCTTTGACCCTTTCTCCCTTGGTCTGGTTCTAAGTATTTCATCTACTTCTTGGATGCTTTGATTTCATTTTTTTCTTGTTTATCTCACTCCTTTTCTCTTTTTTCCACCTCTTATCCTTAAAACCTTTTTTCAAAAAAAAAGAGTGGGGAATCTTTTGCTGTAACCCGTGGGGCCTATTTTGATTGAGATACACCTGATTTTCATGCATTTCATTGATCATTGACAGTTCAACAGTTCGCCTGGTTGACTTTTTTGTCGAGCCTCTGATACCTTTGAGAAAAAAATTTTTTAGGATTTCGGGATCATTCCCCACTAATTCACAGAAACTTCCAAGTCTCCTTTGAGAATTTCCTAAAATGGCTTGTAGTCCTCTGTGGACTTTTTCATCCGTTCCTTCACGATTTTTCAGAAGTTCTTTCTCGACCAATGACTTTTAAAGAGCAGTATTGTGAGTAAATTTCTGCGATTTCCGATTGCTGACGAGTTTTTTCCGAATTCAAACTGGCCAGACATTGCGGTCGTCCCCGTCGTCAGTCATAGGGGGATGGATGTATGAGGATCGGTCGCACGCGAGGTGTTTAAACGGATTATGCAACGCCATCAACGCCCTCCTACTGGTCTCGTTTAATAAATCGTCGTCAAATCGCCTTCACCTCAAACCCGTTCTACGGGAGCAACAGCAGATCGAATCGGGAAGGGCATGCATTTTTTTCAACTCTCGTGGGAGACAACCCATCCTTGAGGTCACAAAATAAAACAGTCTTGAGAGTCTTTTGGTATTAATCAATCCAATTTGGAATGCGCCCCGCATTCGATACCCATTTGGAATCGTGGTGGTGATTTGAAGGCGTATGTTTATTATGCAATTTCTTGAGTAAACTGCCATGTGCTTTTCAGTAGAGCTTTTATCCTCCCAGACAAGTCTAGTGCCCAGCAATGGACCTTGGAAAAATGTTAGATCGGGTATCAGGCCGGCTTCCGTTCCCTAGACGATTCCTGTGATAATGCTCCATTTAGTCACCTACAAGGTCCCTGTTCCATCGATACTAAATATCTATATTTGTGGCATGTAATAAGGAATGCCAAAAGAGTTGTCACCTACTCCTATATTACTTTAGCTTCAAACCATTCAGAATAGGTGGATGAAAAGAGAGTTGTAGTTGTAGAAGTTAAAAAGTTGAATCAGTTCTATCTCTATACCATTTCAATGTCTAATAAAAGCTAGGTGCACGGCGCACACTCCCTTTCCGATATAATCCTTTTTCATTGCTAGTAAATCATCTAAGACTTTATTAGATTTCGAAATTGCTCATGCATCGCTTCATTGACGCTATTCCCACTTCGAATGAACTGAAGTTTTTCACATCCTTATGGTCTGAAGAAATCTGCTACTGCTTACCTTTGAAACACCTCTCTCACCTATTTTTCTCACTTATTCGTCAAAATCGATGATCGACAAAGAACACAAATAAATAAGTGAGTAAATTATAAACAAGAATGCTACTCGACATAATTTGTTTTGTTTTCGAAAATCAACTTGGCTCTATTCCACCTACTGCAGGAGGGTCAAGAACAGCAGGCGATGATGAATTCTCTCCGTTGAAAACGAGTATTTCCTCCCCCTCGGATTTCGCACTCATGTAACTTCACGAGGCCGACTTTAAGGGAGTATGGGCGCTTCCTTAACTATATATTTCAGTCTGACCCACTACTGTGACGACGACCCGTGGAACTCAGATTGACGCTGAAATTCATAAAAATAATTTAATTTCAGTCATTAAAACTAGTCCCTGTAAAAGGGAAGAGAAAGTAGAAAGTCCTACCTATTTTAGTGATTTACCAAGTTATTTATAGAATCACTAGTACTTGTGTAGGAAAACTGTATGTTACAGAAGTTAGGCTTGGAATCCAGAACCCCTGTATTCTATGTCTTCTAAAAGCCAATATTATGGGTGCATTAAAAAATATAAGGCGTTTTCATAGGTGTAGTTTACTAACTATTTATAACTATAGTTAGCACGGCTAAGGTTTATATTTAGATGGAGTCTATGAAGAAGTGGGCTATGTTTGTCCTAAAAAATCCGGTTTATTTTACATTAGCAATTAATGCCATAATCAACTGGAGAACTCTCTAGAACCCTTACTTTCAAGCACTTCGAGACGATGACGACGACGACGTCTCGATAGCGAAAACGGGTCATATGACCCCGGCACTCAAGTCATCTCTGGTGTTTTCACTTGTTGGCCTTGAGGTCGTCTAGTTTTTCCCTATGCTGAAAGATTGTTTTCTTGAGCAAATTCGATTTTGAGGCTATGTTTTTCAAGAAGTCTGTCATTTCTGGAGAAGTACTTAGGAATTTACTAGTTGAGGAATATTTCAGCAGTCAACACCATTTCTGAGGTCCTTCTTGTGAATCCCTTTCGTATCGAAAAAGTGGTCCTCATTTGTCTCAGTCATGACCTTTTTCTGGAAAATCCCATCCTCTTAGCATCATCTAGCATCCACCTATACCATAGGTGTTTTCTAAAGTGTTTACTTGTCTGGTTATTTATTTATTTTACCACATTCCAACAGGTGTAGTAAAAAGGCAAAAGGAATTGGAAAAACTCAAAAGGAATAAGCAACAAATAAATAAATCAATGTGAATAAAAAAATAATTTATTGATTATATTTCGGAGCGATTTTCATCTAGCCAAGCTGGCACTCAGCCAGGAGCCCTTTTGTTCTATTCAGCCTGATCTTGACGCCCCTTTACCAATAATTTCTTAAATATTTCCAAACTTGTATGTGGATTTAGAAATTCAGAACCCTCCGGTTTTATTAAGGTACGTCCCATAGTTGGAAGGCGCTTCCCTTAAACATGAGGAAAATCTTCTCTTCCTATGCCATTCTAGGTGTTTGCGTGAAAAGACATTGCCCAAGAGTAGCGCCGTTCCCCGATCTCGACGTTGATGATCTTCACCCCATAGGCAGAAGCAGCAGCAGCAGCAGCAGCAGCTAACGGGTGTGTGTGTGTATGGAAGTGGCGTGAAGCGACATACATACACATATACACGCACAAAACTAGCTACGAAACCGGTTCGGCGTGTTCGTCGTCGTCGTTGGCGCGGCCGCGTTGTACCGCCACTGGCGTCGTCCTCGACGACGGCGTCGACGACGACGACGCCACGATCTCGACATTTGGACGAGCCGAGATCGTGGCCGCCGCGTGCTGCGACGTACGGTGATTGTTGTAATGCTTTCGGGAATGATACAACACGCACATATACACATGCGCGTATCTACGGACTATCGTTGTAAAACCGCCGCAGCAGCCAACAACCGGAAAACTCGTACCACCGGCCTGATGACGTTGATGCACATCGCCCAGGGGTCAATCACACGATTCATACCCGATTACAGTACTCGCCGAACAAGGTCCTTTTACAACGCTCAACATGTTCTCGAGTGGTAGCAATGGGTAGTTTGCCATCACCAGTGTCACTTAATGATGTTAGGGTGTCCTTTGCCATGAACAGAACGACGAGAATGGCTTAAAGCGATCATCAACGGCGGACATTTCCGCTTCCAAAACGAGAATATCGTTGAAGGGATGTCTGGTTTGTTGGGAGTGGGCGCTTGGGCGGTCCTTTGTGACCGTACCCATAAGTTGTATTGTAGGAAATAAACAAAATTCCCGAACATATGGATTGAGTCCTTTCTATGGCCGCAATCTGGAGCGACATCTGAATAAGGCGTTGATAAACACGTAGTCCATTCCCTTGTCAATCTTTGCCAATGCTTTCGGTATCGCCTTCGATCCCATATGGTCAACTACGCGATAAGATGTCACCCACACTCCCACACACACATGCGTAGACGATGTCCCCATGCCTCGCGTGGTCGCTCGTCGGATCGCCCTACGGCCGCTGATCGCTCGGCCCCCGTACGGGCTATGATCCAATCTCGGGGCGAAAATCGAAATTTACCTTCTTTTGAACGGGTTTATCCCCACCTCCACCCGGCCGGCCGGCCACCGACCGCTCGCCACCGCGCTGACATCTCCTTGCAACCGTTCCTTTCATTATCGAAATGACCTACTGTTACTAAAAATAATCTTTCCATTTTGGGGATGGATACCTTCGAACTTTTTATTTTTCAAAGGGTAGTGTCGTAGGATCTACTTACAATTACCTACCGATTACTTTCATATCCATTCGATGTAAAGAGGGTTTTCATAAATGTTTCTGTACGTCTCATCCATGAAAACCCTTTTATAAATTACAAATATATTACTGTACGTCTCATCCATGAAAACCCTTTTATAAATTACAAAAATATTACCATTTTGATTTTACTATTTGTATATTTCGGAAAAGTTCAAATGGCAAAGGTAGCATCGATGTGGGAGGGGTCGGCGGATCCGATTTCGCTAATGCATGCGATTTTCGGGGCCTACCAAATGGTTTCTTAGGATTCCATAGAACGATCCATAAATTATTGCATTAATCCAATACCCATTCAATTGCTTCCACGATTCTGATTGGAAACTCGATGCACAACGCATACTGAAGCGAATGCTTCATCATCAGAGCTTGGGACTTGGGTCTATTGAAACGTCAGGGGTCTAGGTTGGGAAATCGCTATAATCCAGAGGGGTCGTACTCGCTAGTTCGGTTTTATTTATCAGACTGCATTTATTAAATACAC